ACCAGAAAACCTTCTTCCATTGCTCCATGGTCTATTTCTGATGCACACCGCACAAGCCTTGCTGTTTTGGAGATGTTCTGACCTAGTCATCACTATTTGGCCCTTGTCAAAGTTACTCAGATCTTTTTGCTTGCTTGTTTTACATACTTTCAACACATGAAACTCAAGAACTGCCTGTTCAACTGTCACCTAATATATTTCACCTCTTGACAGATGCCATTGTAATGATATAATCAATGTTATTCACTTACCCTGTCAATGTTGTGGCTGATCAGTGTAGTAATGATGCACACAAATCAGTAATGATACACACATTATGAACAGCATTACATTTTAAAGCAATTTGAGTTACTGTAGCATTTCTGTGTGATAACACCATCCGGGCTATGCTTCGCTCCCCATGTGCATCAATGTGCCTTGGGTGCCCATGAGCCTGATGCCAGGTCACAGGTTGTCCTTTCTTGCACCACTTTTGGTAGGTACTAACCACTGCATATCAGGTATACTCCACAAGCCTTGCCATTTTGGAGGTGCTCTGATCTAATCATCCATCCATCCCTATTTAACTCTAGTCAAAGTCACTCAGATCTTTTTGCTTACCTGTTTTTTCCTGCTTCCAGTGCATGAAACTCAAAAACTGTTTATTTGCAGCATATAATCAATGTTATTCACATCACATGTCATTGTTTTTAATGTTGTGGTTGATCACTGTATTATTTGTTTTGTTTTTGTATTCTAGTTTTTTTACTCTTAGTATATAGCATTTAATACAAAATGGAGAACAAGAGTGGCATGTGGTGAACGAGGTGCCGGTTTGGTCTCAGTTGTGTTATTTGTGTCTAGTTGCTCCCCCGGACAGATTTAGCAAGCTGTTTTTTGAATAACATTTTTTCGATACTGATCTCAGATAGAAAAATGAATGAAAATAAAGTAAATATGAACATAGGGATAAATCTAAACAATAAATCTATATAAACTTTGACAAAAATCAAGTTCACAAAAATCTGCAGTGGAAAAGAAATATGGTAGAAGAAAACGTCATGCTAAATAATATATATATATATATGGCATAAAAGTCCCCAAAAAATTGAAACAGAGAGAACAGATCTTTGAAAAAAATTATAATTAATACAATAAAAAATACTAGCATAATCAGAATGTGAAATCCTAAATACATTTCTAAAAAGCCCTACATACATATTCATTCTAGTTGGCCATATTCAATTAAAGGACCACTATAGCGCCAGGAAAACATACTCGTTTTCCTAGCACTATAGGGCCCAGAGGGTGCCTGCACCCTCAGGGACCCCCTCCAGCCGGGCTCTGGGGAGAGGAAGGAGTTAAGATCTTACCTTTCTCCAGCGACGGGCGGGAGCTCTCCTCCTCTCCGCCTCATCTCCTCCTCTTTGGCTGAATGCGCATGCAATGCTTTCCTATGGACGCTTGCGTCTTCTCACTGTGATTTTCACAGTGAGAAGCACGCAAACGCCTCTAGCGGCTGTCAATGAGACATCCACTAGAGGCTTTAGAGGCTGGATTAACCCATTTATAAACATAGTTTCTCAGAAACTGATATGTTTATAAAAAAAATGGGTTAACCCTAGCTGGACCTGGCACCCAGACCACTTCATTAAGCTGAAGTGATCTGGGTGCCCAGAGTGGTCCTCTAATGCAGCTATGTCACAAAAATAAAGTATCAAATATGCTTCTATATAGTTCCCAGTGCATGAATATTAATTTCTTTTCTTTCTGAGTACTGTTTTCCCATAAATTCATAAAGTAAGGCCAGGGCTACTTTTCCTTGTGTACAGTAGTCAAGCTGATAAAACTTGACAATGGACAGAGCTTAAAACAAGGTTCTGTTACAGTTACCAATCAAATTTACCCAAAACACATCAGAAGCGGCTCACATAGTGATGAAAAATGTATACCCAAACAGTGCAAATACATGTATTATCTTCACTTAAAATATTTTCTGGGACTGAACAGCAGGGGCGAAGGCACAACCATGGTGACGCTTACATGCTTCATGTGTTAAGGGCACTTCATCGTAGTCACAATCCCCACAACTCGTCAGTATAATCAACTCTACAAAAGAGAAAACATTAGACATTGTGGGCAGAGGAGAACAAAATGGCTACACCCAAATATTGAGCTTCAGCAGAAGAAAGAAAAGGTAATGACTAAAAATAATGACAAGGAAGGGGGTATACTCATAATGATAGAGAAGGCATTAAGAAAGAAAATTCGAAAGAAAAAAAAATAACATAACATTGTAGTGAGAAATATTGATGTCTTGAAATAATACAAAAAAAATCACCATGCACAATTTTTTTGTGGGTGACACACCAAAATATTTAGCTGCTGCAACACTCATGTGGGTTATCACCTAAGATACCACACTCACAAACATACATTAACCAATAGTGCTAAATAATTAAATTTAAGTATTTACTCACCCCTATATAAAGGGAGTCCCAGAAGTATTAAAACCCAAAAGAGAAAAAATTTAACAAATGATTGTGCAATATTGCTTAAGAATAAAGTATTTTCCAGGTTTGGTTTGCAGTGTGTTCACCACAAATCAATTATTGATTACATTTACAAAAATAGTTTAAAGAAAAAGGATTTTTTTTTAACTGTGGGTACTTTAGAAATAATTTGAAAATCCTGACCTACAAACTAATTGTGAAGGTTTATCAAAAATAAGTATATGAAAATGTTATAATGTATTTTTTTTCTTTGGAATATATGATTAAATATTATTTTTAATATTTGTTTAATAAAATCATTTTTTTCACACATTTTTTTTGTTTACATGGAGGAGTGCCTGGGCTTAGGTTGCTTTGTAGTAGGTAAAAAAAATTTTTATAATTTGCTCGCTATTAATAGCAACGAATGACAATAAACGTAGATCTGACTATTCGTATAAACCATTTATCTGTTATCACAATCTAACCCTGTAGATTTTAGGTGAAAAGCAGTCTGTCAGCTGTGAAATTGTACTCTGAAATAAAATCTAAAATCTATCAAGTGATTGTTAAAAAGCTATTTAAAAATCGAGCTCAACGGAGGGCGTTAAATTATCACGCATCATGCCAATTCTAGATTCTATAGTTTCCCTTATAAACAGCTTAATGATTTTTTTTCACATCTTTAAGACCAAAATCAAGAACTAAAATGTATAAATGTACATCATCTATCAGCATTTAGCTGTTATGACATATTTTGTCTTATGAGTGTAAGACTCCAGTTCATGTTTCCTTAGCAACTGCTGAATGCTTTTTCACAGATTTAAGACCAAAACGTATATGGGCCAAATACTCTATTAGCATTCAGCTGTTCTGAATTGTCTTATGAGCGAAAGCTCGAATCAAGTGAAGAATCGATTCTAAGGATGGAGAAAAAGTGACAAATATGTCTTTGTTGCAATAAATACAATCACAAAATACCAATATGCACTGATAAAGTTCACTGGGAATAACAAAAATGTTAAACCAAAAATTGTATTCCCCATATATTCTTGTTAGACAGGAAAACACTGAAAGTAGAGGTGGCATCAAGGATGGTTTGATAAATTTAAAACACATTCTGAAGCAGAAATATTACCACATTAGTGAAGGTGAGAGGCCAAAGGAGATTTTTTTTCCAAGGTTGACATGGTGGTGAGGAAAAAAAAAAAAATTCAGATATAGAACCTCCTCAGTGGTGATAAAGTGCTGATGAAGAAAGGAATTGAATATACCCAGAGTACATACCAGCTGAAGTTTAGCGGACTAGTGAAAGAATCTTATGATCAAATGAGGTTGAAAGGAGAAGAAACATTATTTTTTTTAAATTAACTATATAGGGGATTTACTAATGACTGCTAAGTGACTAATTATTAAAGGACCACTATAGGCACCCAGACCACTTCAGCTTAATGAGGTGGTCTAGGTACCTGGTCCATCTAGGGTTAACCCTTTTTTCTATAAACATAGCAGTTTCAGAGAAACTGCTATGTTTATATTAGCGTTAATCCAGCCTCTAGTGGCTGTCTCATTGACAGCCGCTAGAGGTGCTTGCGTGCTTTTCACTGTGATTTTCACAGTGAGAAGACGCCAGCGTCCATAGGAAAGCATTATGAATGCTTTCCTATGGACTGGATGAATGCGCACGCAGCTCCTGCCGCACATGCGCATTCAGCCGAAGAGGTGGAGAAGAGGTTGGAGAGGAGGAGGAGAGCTCCCCGCCCGGCCCTGGAGAAAGAGGTAAGTTTAACCCCTTCCTCTCAACAGAGCCCGGCGGGAGGGGGACCCTGAGGGTGGGTGCACCCTCAGGGCACTATAGTGCCAGGAAAACGAGTATGTTTTCCTGGCACTATAGCAGTCCTTTAAACACTATACATCAAACATATGATATTTTATTCAAAGTTCATGTTAAATTCACACGCTTTTAGTGTTTATTACATTTGCAACGCAATCATTAGAGAAGTATGAATCATTGACGTAATTATATAAATCCTCCCGTCACATATGTGTATATAAACCTGTACATCTACAATAGGTGATATGAAGTTTTGGGTGTTGTTGACTCTGAGTTCTACTGTACCATATTATATTAAATTATTAACTTTGAAATGAAAATGTAACGTTACATGCTTTGTCTATAAATATCCTTTTATTAGGTAAAAGTCTAAAAATAAATTTGGTACAGGCTCCTTGTAGTTATCTGTTTGCCACTGACATTTATGAGTGACAGAATCCTGCCACGCACCACCAGTCACAGGCAGCCATCAATGAAGTGGTTGCATGAAGCTTTTCGCCAGTTGGGAATATCAGAAAATGATTTTGCTTGGCACGGCACTGTAACACGAGGGACCGCTCAATCTGTTTCTTTTCTCAGATGTTGCTCTTTCTTAAGTTCTGCACCTTTTGGGGAATCAGAGCTCGAGGTGTATACTGCAAAATGCTTGAGTTTATTAGTGCCAGATGATCAAAGGGAGAAAAGAAAAGAAAGTTGCCATCTGCTGTGTGTCCCCTGCAAAATAGACAGCTAGGCATGGGACACCCCATATGCCAAAATGTTATGGGGGCAGTACTGACCGTGCAAGTAATGATTGTGTTTCTTTTGAGGTAAAAAATGTGCCTGTGTAAATAAATGTGGGCGAAGTTATGAGAATAGGCTTAGTTTTGAGTGAATTTATGTGTCTGTTTATGAGTAGAGTACATAAGGGTAGACAAATTAACACAAGGCTTTAAGTCTGAAATATCAAAAAATGCTTGAGTGGTGGACTCGAAGATAGCTCCGAAATTAGCAGTATGGCATTTTTAATATACAGATCGGTCAGGTACGTTTTTGAAGTGTTAGGAACTTAGAAACATGGTCTAAAGTGGAAAAATAATGTGGAAATATCTAGTAACAGATGACCTAGGTGAAATAAAGCAGATAGAAGGGTTTAAAACAAGAAGGGTTTTTGAAATAGGCAGTGAAGTCTGAAGCTAATAAAATTTGTCTGAAATGGACAGAGAAATGGCATGCAGTACGGATTTGCCTTTGAACAAGGGATTTGGAATTGAAAAACAATTCAGAAGTCTGAAGTAAAGATATTTGAAGTTAACAAACATGTGGAGAGACATCTGCAATAAGAAGGCAGAGAAGTCGAAAACTGAAATATTTTTCATGTAGGACGTGAGGTCTGAGGCGAGAAGGGGGACATCAAGAATCCTGAGGCATCTAAAATGATGTGTTAAGTAGGCAGACACATTTAATGGGATTGTAGAGGGCAGATGAATCAGAATTTTGCAGTTCAGTTGTGTAGTAAGCAGACATGTAGAACATTAAAGAAAGACGCCAGACCTCTAAAGCACTTAAGCTTGCTGAAGTGCTTTATGTGTAAAAAGTGTGTCTTCTTTTTTCATTTTGCAAAAACTGCAGATTTAAACAGAAATGTTATAAATGAGCTTGTTACACTCTCCCTGGCTGTCAATCAAACAATGAGCCCTGTTAATCCTGGTTTGGTTAGCTCAGTGGCCCAGAGCATCTTCACCTGCAAAGACTTCTCATTAAGCAGCATTGGGAAGTCTTTAATTGTACAGCCACAAAAAGTCTGGGCTATGTTAGAGGTGCCTTTGGCAAGATGTTTTTAGAATGCATCGCATTACAGCTTTTAAATACATGCATGTTTTCATTGGGCATATCTATTAAATTGTGACATTTATTTAGTTTAGCAGTTGAGTGTCCCTTTACTATAGGAAAAGTTATTTGATGGGTCTTACATTGACAGGAAGGTCTTGGGAGTTTTTTTATTGGGGATTGAAAAGATTAGTGGGTTGGGAGGCAGTAGGTAACAGACCTTAACTAAGCAAAGCGCTTGCAATTGGTAGAAGCATCAGATATTGAAAAGGACTGTGAAATAGGCAGATAATCTTGATATTGGAAATGTATCTTAGTTCTGTTAGGGGTCTTTCATTTTTTTAAATATGGTATGTTTAAATGTTTAAATATGAGTATTCTGTAGTGAGAGAAGTGATGGGATGTATGTAAAGGGTACTGAAGTGGTTAAATAAAACTAAATTAGCAAACACAGACACAAAATGAGCAAACACGCAGACATACAGACAGAGATTTGGACAGACAGACAAGTACCTAAGTACTTTTCTATGAGAAGCATTGGATTGGCCAGGGAGATCCTCACTAATAATAACCTCTAATTAAGTGGGGAACCTGAAATCTTAGTCATCAATTGACACTCCAGTATGAAAATAACATTTATATCAAACACTAAAGTCTTGTGAATTCCTAATATATTACAGTTAATTGAGGAAATTAATTTGTATAGATGCATGGATTGGGTGACAAATATGTATTATAATTTTAAAGTGAAACTAATAATAATAGTAATAATAGTTGTGCAAGTAAATGTTAGTACAGTAAACATTACAGCAAGGTTAACTCCTGTTGTAGATAGGTTTTAATATTATGAAAGGAAATTTAATTCACATAACCTAAAGCAGTGTTGTTTGCCTTGATTTTAACCAGTTGTATCTGTTTAGCCTCAAGATTAATTTGCTCTGTTCCTTTTTTAGAACACAGAATTCAACATTTTCCTCACTGCATTTAACTACAGGGCTATAATATACAGATAATCAAAAGTGAAGGGGGATAAACCAATATTTGGTGGTGTGCTGTCTTTTTTATGAACAGTGGGCAGATAAGGAAGAAACAGGAAAGCCCCAGGGATGGAATTACACTAAATGAAATGAGTATAATCCTGACAGTAAAAAGGTCTATCGTGCTCATAAAAATAATGGAAAATAAAATATATACCTACATTTCAAGGGAGGATTAATTAATAATCAGATTCCAATTCAAGATACAGGGGGGAAAAAAAATGTATTCGGCAAGGGATCAATGAAAGAAAAAACGAGGGGAGGCATAATTTGAATGCATAAAACCATCACATGAAAGAAAGGCAGTCTACAACAGCAAGGGGGCGAATGAGGCTGGGGGAGGAGTGCATGAGAAGGAACAATTGCATGCAGTCAGTGTTTAAAATCATGAGTTGGATTTTCTATTTGAGCTTAAAAAAATAAAAGATTTGAAAGAGAGGGGTACAAGTGCTGTGACTTAAATTGCTAGGGTTGCAAAGAAGAGAAGGATAGATATGATTTAAAAGAAGACTTGTCATTATTATTTTATAGTAGGAGGGATAATATGAGTATATGAGGTTCAGGTAAATGGAGTGGAAAGGTGTGCAAATCTGGGTACCTTACATTCTGAACTCCTCTGCCGTATCCAGAGCCCACGGGAGCTGTCCACTATCCGGTGCTGAAATATTTTTAGCCTGCTACTAGCACTTCAGGATCTCCTACAAATGCAATTAAGGCAAACAAATATCAGCCAATCTTATTCACAAGCTCACAGACTCAGTTGTTCTCAGCAGCAGCGATCAAACTGCTGAATGTGAAGCATCAGGACAAGGATACATTAATCAGATCTATCTGCACAAAAGCTCCGGTCTTAAGGAAGCCACAGAGAGGTCAGGAATATAGAAGGATATCCCAGCTGCTGAATAACTGCTAACCACGGCTGGATGGTGACTTGAGTTGGCTGAATTCTAATGACACGGTCTACCTGACAAACTTCATTGCACCTAGAGGGCTCCGCCACAGGGAAAAAAAAAAAACTTGTTGGCAGATTGAAAGGTGTTCATTGTCAGGAAGAGAATTGCAGTGCAGACACTGTGAACAGTTTATCTGTCTTGCGTTGTGAATGAGCATCTTGGAATCTTATGCATTCTACACTCAGCCTGTAATGGTCTTCTCTGATGCCAAACTTCACACTGAGAAGTCAATTGGTGGTCATACATCGGGACTTACAGTCACAGCTTGCCAATTACTTCTATACTAGATGATGTATGTCCCTTTGGATGAGAAGCTACAAAACTACCTGATGTTTCTTCAAGCCTATTTCTTTTAGGTGTGCATTAGTTTTCTACATACTGTCTATGGAGAATCAACAAACAACCTTGAACTGAGACACCCAGGAAATATAGTGGATCTATCAATCCTTATAAAGTGTGCATCATTTCAGCTGAATCTTATGGCTTGAAGGTATGTCAATACATTCATATCAAATCAATACCTTGGGGGGACAGCTGTGTGTTAATGAAATCATGCCTTAAAAAAACAGAACATATGAATGACCAGTAAACAATATTGTAAGTCTGACAGATGGGGGAGGGAGGGTTAAGATATCAGCATATATTCATTTAATGCAATCTTTGATTATAAGACTGAATTCCAAAATCCAAAATCCATTTCCAGCAAATATTACATTCCGGAAATATTTAGAAATTCACAATATCCTACTGTACTTCATGTAATCCTAGGGCTAATTATAATGGCAATAATTAAGGAAAATGCATAGCTCTGATAAGTAATTAATCCTCTGGAATAGATTATTAGGAGACACTCAATTGTTAATATGGCTGAGCAGTAAACAGTATGTGTAATTGTGTACATCAAGGTAATTGTCATTTGGTACTAACTGGATTAGTTAAATCAGTTCATGTATATTCTGTTTACATTATATTAGTGAGTGGAGTTATTTTCTGCTCACAGTTGTCTACAGCTAGCTCATGTATCTATATATAACCCTTTCCTGTCTGATATTTAACCATGGATTTATAAATATTTTTGGAGACAGGAGGCTGTGAGTTTAATCATGTACATGTAACTATACACTATGTGCCTTTGCAGATAAATAGCAAAATGATAATTTAATGACATTGGGTTATTTATGCCTCAAATTTTTTTACATCATCAAAGTAGTATATGCTACAGGATTGGTTTGTGCTTTATATTCAGACAATATTATTTATAATAATATTTTTTTCATAGGGATTGAACGTTCTCATTAACTTGAGTTATGTAACTTTTTATTGTAAGTCTTTCATTTGTATCCTTTTTTCTGCGGGTAGTATTCACTAAACAGTGAGTTGCTGTGATTTGAAAACTAAGTTGCGAATTCAAGGACCATATTACTAAGTCCGGAAAGATCTCCAACTTGCAATTTCATCTATTTTGTTTGTTTGTTTGTTTTATGTAAAAAAAATGCAAATAAGCCCCAAAATTGCAATAACTTGCTATTTAGTGAATAGACCCCTCTAATTAATTAAACCTCTCTTAATATCTTCTTACTTTCTCATTCACTGGGGAAAATGTGTTAAATCATTAAGTACTACTAATATATTGATTATGTGTTTAACAATTTAGGCAGCATATGTTATGTTCATAATATGATATTTCCAATACTGGCTAGTGCTTCATTGGTCACAAACCAAGAGATCACATGGCACTAAAATATTTATTCACTAGAAAAATAATAGTTACTAGTTGACAAGGGAATATCAAAATTTAGGTCACAATACCTCAGTTAAAATATTCCCCAGCTCAGCTGTTTTACTTGTAGGTTATTTTGTCCAATATATTATGATTCCTTTCTCAATGCTTTCTTCACTATATAGAGAATGGACAAGTTAATGTTTTATGTTTCTTTACTTTTCAAAACACACCCATACACACACACATATACATATATATATATATATATATATATACATATACATATATACATATACATATACATATACATATACATATACATATACATATACACACATACACACACACACACATATATACATACACACATATACATACACACACACATATACACATACACATACACACACACTCAAATATACACATACACACATATATACT